CGCCTATGGCACAGAGCCTTGATCACCCCTGGCCTGTTGCAGCGTGGGGGACACAGGGAGCCAATGAAGCATGTTTGCCTTGTGGATGGACCGGGACAAGAGGCAATCACCATCTCTCCCTCACTTCCTTCCTCATGAACAAAAATGGGAACAAGAATTCACACTGGGTGGGAGGGGGACTGGCTGCAGGCTCCCTGGGTCCTGAGTTTGAATTTCGCCCTCGCAGCCAGTCTCTAGCCCGCTGGAGTGACACAGCGCAAGCTCAGGCGCTGGGGGAGCAGCTGTAGGCCCTGCACCTGCTTCTCAGGGCGGGCTCCCATCTGGGCGGGGAGATGTCAGGGGGCGAGGAGACTCATGACAGCTATTTCCCGACATGGGTGACAGACTGTCTCCTACGGCTGGGAAGATCAAAAACCAGGCCAGATTGGGGGCTCTGCCTCCCCTCCCTTCCTGGAGAGACACAGGTAGTGATTAGCAGAGCTTACTCCTCCCTGGCGGGCTCTGCGCGCACAGCGGGCTTCCCATGCTGCAATCCTGCCACTCCAGTCCCCAAGGTGGGGGTGTTGCACCTACTGTGTGCTGGGTCAGGTACTGGTGGGGACAGGACAGGGCACAGGAGGAGGAGTCACGCGCTCCCAAGTAGAGTGACAGATACTGTAATATTAGCCCCTCCCCCTAAAATGTTAGCTCCTCCCCTAAGATGTTAGCCCTACCCCTAAATGTCAGACCCACCTGTCAGTCCCGCCCTCTAGAATGTTAGTCCCCTCCCCTAAGATGTTAGCCCCACCCCTAAATGTCAGCCCCGCCTCCTAAATCTTAGCTCCTCCCCCAAGATGTTACTCCACCCCTAAATGTCAGACGCTCCCCCTAAAATCTTAGCCCCCGCCAAGATGTTAGCTCCCCACCACTTGCCAGCCCCTGCCCTGGAGTGTTAGCCCCCTACTATGTTACCTTTCCCCAAGACGTCAGCCTCTCCCCTAAATGTGAGCCCCCGGCCCTCCACTGTGGAAGCCCCGTCTCCAGTTCTCTCAAGGTCTCACAAGGCCATTTGACTGCCAGGTGCTCCGTGAACTTATTCAGTGGATCCAGGCCTCAAAGTCCTGTCTGCATCACTTCCCGGCCGTGTGGCCTTCCGGAAGTGACTTGACCTCTGAGCGCCGAGGGTCCTCATGTGCCGAGGGACAGGACCGGGATCGAGCAGGTTTGTAGACAGCTGGCCAGACGATGGAACTCAGACAGAGGTCAGCACCTGCGGGAAAATGGGGGAGTCGCCTCCTCGGTCCTCGTCCTCACTCCCTGTCCCTGCACATTACAGGGCCTCCCCGAGGGGCTCTGCCCTCCGGGGGAGAAGGCGGACCCCAGCCGGACCCGGCTGGGTGGGCGGGGCCGTGGGAGCGTGGCACCGTGGGATGGTGGGGACCGTGGGACCGTGGGGACCGTGGGGACCGTGGGACCGTGGGGACCGTGGGGACCGTGGGACCGTGGGAACCGTGGGACCGTGGGAACCGTGGGACCGTGGGAACCGTGGGACCGTGGGAACCGTGGGGAGCGTGAGAACCGTGGGTCTGTGGGAACCGTGGGGACCGTGGGACCGTGAGAACCGTGGGACCATGGGGACCGTGAGGACCGTGGGAACCGTGGGGAGTGTGGGGACCATGGGACTGTGAGGACCATGGGAAAGGCCTGTGTGGTCCAGCGACAGCGGACCCACACTGTGCCCCCATCCTGAGGCACCACCACCCACAGAACATGTCTCCTGGGGCCCACAAGAGTTTTCTTAAGGCAACCTGATCAATGCTCCGTTTCAATTTTCAGTGCATTGATCTTAGACCCTGCCATGCCTGGCCCTGCTTGGGAGGGACTGTCACCTTCAGGGTAGTGGCTTGTCCTGTCCTGTCCTGTGGGACACTGCTGTAAACTGAGGCAAAAGGGTGGGGCCAGGGCATGGGCTGTGGGCTTGGTGTTCAAAGTCTCACATACTAATAGTATTATGTATGAGAGAGAGGGAGAGAGGAAGAGGGAGATCCAGAAAGAGACACAGAGAAGCAGAGACAAAACACAGAGAGAGACACAGGAAAAGAGACACCGAGGCAGAGAGAGACAGAGAGAGAAGCAGAGACAGAGACACAGAGAAAAAGATACAGAGAAGCAGCGAGAGAGCCAACAGGTGAGATCATACACATCTGTGATCCCAGCACTTTAGAGGAGGCAGGAGGATCAGGAGTTCAAGGCCAGCCACTGTCACATAGCATGTCTGAGGCCAGCCTGGGCTATGTGAGACCCTGTATTAAAAAAATAATAGAGACAGGGGGTTGGAGAGATGGCTCAGTGGTCAGAGCACCGGCTGCTCTTGCAGAGGACTTGAGTTCGGTTCCCAGCACCCACATGGTGGCACACAACCATCTGTAACTCCAGTTCCAGGGATCCAATGCTTCTGTCTGTCCTCCACAGGCAATGTATGCACAGGTGCACCTACATACATGTAGGAAAAACACTCAAAGACATAAAATCAACCAACCACCAACCAGAGAGCGATGAATGCTGGTACTCGGTGTATTTTCTCCTTTTTGCTCACTCCAGGATCATCACAGCCCGTGGCATGGTGCCAATTTAAGGTGGGTCCTCAACAAACACCATCTAAACAGTCCCTCACAGGCCACACCAAGATTACTCCAGATCCCATGACATGGACAATCACATGAGTCATCACAGGAGCTAGACCAGAGACCATTAGCCCCTATTCAAAGTTCTTAGGGAAAATAGGGCTATCATCATTAAAAAGGGCTTCATTTTGACATGTTCATACATGGTAGTCACCCCTCTCCCGTCCCTCTCTCCCTCCTACTGATCCCCTTCATTTGCCCAAACAGTCACTCTCCTGTGACTCTACTACAAGAAGACCTGAACCAATGTCTTCTCACTCCAGACAGGGACCCAACCACAGACCAAAGAAAGGACACCATCAAAATCCAGCTTCTGAACCAGTGAGTTTTATTGGGGTTAACTGGGGTTACATGTATGAGCAGAAAAGACTCGCAGCATCATCCCCAAAGCCCACCCCAGAATGGTGACAGCTCAGGATACCAGGAAGTCTGGGGCCCACAACCCACAGGCAGCTCCACACCTTGGAGAGCATCCTGTTCAGGCAGCTCAGCTCTGTTGGTCTCCCCCGCCCCCTGTCTCTCGTCTTTTTGAGACAGGGTCTCCCTGTAACCCCTGCTGACCTGGAACTCACTGTGTAAACCAGGCTGGCCTTGAACTCACAGAGATCTACCTGCCTCTGCCTCCCGAGTGCTGGAATTAAATGTGCATGCCACCTGCCTCACTTAATTTTTTTTAAGGGGGGAGTGACAGAATGAGTTCCATTAAGGTTACTTCCAGGAGCACAGGCACCTTACCAGTGGTGACACCGCTGAAAATGTGTCTCCCTCCCCCAGGAGCCAGTGACTGCCCACCCACATGGTGGCTAACAGCCATTTGTAACTCCAGTCCCAGGGGATCCAATACCCTCTTCTGGCCTCCACAGGCATTGCATACACAGGTGCACTTACATACATACAGGCAAAACATTCATACACATAAAATGAAATAAACTTCTTAAAAGCAAGGTTGATGTACTGAGGAATGACACCCAAGGTTGTCCTTTGATCTCCACACACCCATGAACACAGATCACACACACACACACACACATGCCCCTCAGTTGAACCCAGCCCAAATTGCTGAGCCACAGAAATCATATAAGGTTTTTGTTTTTGTTTTTTAACTCTTTTAAACTTGGAGGGGAAGTGTTTGTTACCTAACAAAAGCTGACTGACAGATTCCATTTCTAGTCAAATTTTGGAAAAATGTTCAAATCTTTCCTTTAAGGTCACTTTCAGGAAGTTACAATGACTATGCCTACTCAAATCCTATTGGTCAGAAAGCAGTGACATATCGCCACCTAGTTCAAAGGATACTGGGAAATAAAGTATTACTGGGAAACGTAGTTTTTCTTTTTTTCATGGTTCACTATATTCCATAAGAAAGGGCTCTTCTTATGATGGAAAAGAAAGGCGAATGGATGCTGGTGTCTAAACTACAGAGCTGTTTGTTTTTTTTGGTTTTTTTTTGTTTGTTTGTTTGTTTTTGTAACTTCCTGAAACAATTGCACTTAAAAGATAAAAGCAGAGCCTCCATGGATACTTCCAAACCAGTATTCATAGAGGCATTATTTACAATTTTCCAAAAGATAGTAACAACTCAAATGTCCATCAACAAATGAATGGATTATACAACATTGCTATACATGAACTGTGAAATATTATCCAGCATTAGAAATTCTGAGACCAGCTACAAATGGATGAATCCTGAAAACATGCTAGGTGAAATAGGCCAGACACAAAGAGCATACGTGGTGTCTGGTTCTACTTGGGTGATATACTTAGAATAGCCAAATTCACAGTGACAAGTACAGGAAGCTATTGATTAGTTGGTGGATTTTCTGTATGGGATGATGTAAAAGTTCTGGAAATAGATAACAGTTATGATTGCACAGCTTGTGAATGGATTCAGTACCACTGAAATGTACATTTACAAGTGGCCAAAATTGTAAGTTTTATGTTTTACATGCATTTTGGTCTTTTTGAGACAAGGTTTCCCTGTAGCCCCAGCTAACTTAGAACTCACTATGTAGACCAGGCTGGCCTTGAACTCACAGAGATCTGCCTGCCTCTGCCTCCCAAGTGCTGGAATCAAAGGCCTGCAACACCAGACCTGACAACTACAGAGCTTTTGAGGAGGGACTGGTGGGAAGACTTCCTGGAAGAGGAGCCAGGTCTGGGAAGCCAGTGTGGATAGGTATTCATGCACAGACTATGAAGAAGGATTTCTGGTTTGCATGGAAGTGGGGAGAGCTGATGAACAGCTAAATGCCCTGGCCAAGGCGGAGGGTACAGACAGGAAAACTTTCTGTTGAAAACCCAGACTATGAAGTAGGACTTCTGGTTTGCTGCTGGTTTCTACCACCGCCTGGGGGATTTGCCTCCAGGACAGGAGGGCTGATGAAACCCTCCTCCCCAAAAGCCCTGGCCAAGGCGGAAGATGCCGACTGGAAAAACCTTTGCTGGAAATCTCTGCCGATGAAGACGTACAGGAAGGGATTGAGACAGCTGTTGAAGCAGCCCAGGGAGAAGGTGACCCACAAGATGGATAGATAGGAGTGGCCCCAGGACGGCAGCAGCTTGGATTCCACCAAGAGCCCCAGGTTAAAGGGGAACCAGAAGATGAAGAAGGCGCTCACCAGCACCACCAGGAGTGTCTTGGGCCTGCTGGCGTGGACCCAGCCCTCCCTCCGGAGCTTGGCCCGGATGAGGTAGGCACAGGTGCTGATGATAGACAGAGGGACTAAGAAACCAAGCAGGAAGTGGGCAACAGCCAGCGCCATTTGTTGGTTAGTATCCACCAAACTCCAGTCCAGCGGGGGCTTCTTATGGGAGCTGAAGTTGAAGAAACATTGTTCACAGCCTTTTATATTGTCAACAGTTCGGTACTTCAGAGACGGAGAGCAGGCAGCAGCGGCCAGCAGCCACACCACGATAGCTAGCCAAGTGGCTCGCCGCACGGTGCGGTGGTTCCTGGCCCACACGGGGTACAGGACCAAGATGCAGCGGTCCACAGAGATGAGGACCAACAGGTAGATGCTGGCGAAGAAGTTGAGAATGAGAAAGGCCATGTAGAGCCTGCAGACCAAGCCAGCAGAAGGCCACCAGCCGTTGGCCACGATGTAGATGGACACCGGTAAGGACAGGAGAACCAAGAAGTCAGCAAGGGCCAAGTTGAAGAACCAGACTGTTGTGACGGTGCTGGTCATGCGGAACAGCGTCATCCACAGCACCAGCCCATTGCCCAGCACACCGACAACACAGGACACAGAGAGGATGGCCATGGTGAGATGGCGGAGGCACCCCACCCGCTCCAGCTGGCATTCAGGGTCAGCCATCTTTCGGAACAGAAAAGGTCACATCAGAGCCACTAGTCACATTTCACTACAGCCCACGGCCCCCAGGGACCCAGACACTACCAGCGTTAATAAAATTTTCTATGTGGTTATGTGGATTGAACACAGGGACTCCTACCAGCTTGGGGGGGTGCTTCTAGGCAGGGGCTCTACCCCTGAGGCACACCCCAGCCCCTCACTGAGGGATCCTAGGCAGGGGCTCCACCGCTGAGCCACACCCCAGCCCCTCACTGGGGGACTCTAGGCAGGGGCTCTACCGCTGAGCCACACCCCAGCCCCTCACTGGGGGATCCTAGGCAGGGGCTCTACCACTGAGGTACATCCTGAGCTCTCCTCTCACATTTTATTTTTAGACAGTTCTAAAGTTGCCCAGGCTGGCGTGAAACTCACTCTTCAGGGGAGGCAGATCCTTAATTTGTAACATTCTTGCCTCAGACTCCCAGTGACTGGGATCTTCCTTTGATTGCTTCAGTTCCATTGATCTGTCTTCAAATTCACTAATTTCATTCTCAATCTGTGAACTAGCCAATAATATTCTAATTGTTTTTTGGTTTTTTGAATGTGCACTTAGTTCTTTCTTCATAGTTTCTTTTTCCCACTACAATTTCCTGACTATAAATTCCTTCCGGGTATTGATAGAATCTGCCAGTGAGGGGCTGGGGTGTGGCTCAGCGGTAGAGCCCCTGCCTAGGATCCTCCAGTGAGGGGCTGGGGTGTGGCTCAGCAGTAGAACCCCTGCCTAGAATCCCCCAGTGAGGGGCTGGGGTGTGGCTCAGCAGTAGAGCACTTGCCTATAGTCTCAAAGCCAACAACTTAGTGCAAACTTTTCTCAAAGAAAATGGAGAAAAAACAGTAAAACAAAGGCTGGGGATGGAGCTCTGTGGTAGAGCACCTGCCTGGAATCCCCTAGTGAAGGGCTAGGGACATGGCTCACTGGAAAGAGCCCCTGCCAAAATCCCCCAGTGAGGGGCTGGGGTGTGGCTCAGTGGTAGAGGCTTAGGTAGTAGCCTATGGGAGATAAAGGTCTTGCATCAGGGTGTGGTCATGAACATCTGTAATTGCAGCATTTGGGTGGAGGCTATATAGTAAGTTTGAAGCTAATGTGGGGGGGGAGGGGGGAGAGACAGAGAGAGAGAGAGAGAGAGAGAGAGAGAGAGAGAGAGAGAGAGAGAATGGCCCCGAATTTCTAATCTGGTGGAAGACATGAGCTCACAGATGCTGCTAGCTTTTGATGAACTCCCAGTCAGGTATTTATAAGACAGTCTCTGGTGATCCACAGCAGGGTTGGCCTTGCTGCCTTGAAGGACCTGTGAGGTTAGCCATAGGAAAGAGTCAAGCCTGGGGAGATGCTCGGGGTAAAGTGTTTGCCATACAACCCTGGGAACCTGAGTTCCATCTTTGGGTGTGAGGGTGCATGCTTGTAACCTGATCCCTGGGGAGACAGACAGAGGCTCCTTGGGCTCCAGAGCCAGTCACTCTAGCCTACTCAGAGTCCCAGGCCAATCAGAGACCCTGTCTCACAAAGCAAGGTTGACAGCTCCTGAGCAATGACAGCCAAGGTTGAGCTCTGGTCTCTACATGCATGCACACATACATGTATGCACGCACACACATGCATGCATACACAAACCCTAGAAGAGCGCTGAGGATTGAACCCAGGGCTCCAGACATGTTAGGCAAACCCTGTTCCACTGAGCTTTGTCCCAGTCCTCAGTGTTTTGAGACTCTGTCTCCCATGTTCAAACTGGAAATCCTCCTGCCTCAGCTTCCTGAGTGTTAGAGTTGTAGGCATAGTCCATAGTCCATCATACCACACATTTTTGTGATCACTTCTCTGACACCCACACTCCCTTTCCCCACCCTCCACCCTCTGAGCTCCTAGACCCCTCCCAGCAATCCCAACCCCATCACCCACCTTATGCTGCATCAGAGCAAAGGGCTGGAGTCAGGCCAGAGGCTCTGTCTGTCTCTGGTGTCTGTCCATCCAGTCAGCCCAGGGTGAGGCTGGGGGTAGGGCAGGGCAGGGGACATAGAGGAGGAAACAGTTTGTAAATTTGGGAGCAGATAAAGTTCCAGGAAAACGTCTTGAGCAAGAGCCATGGTGACCCTGAAGATCAGTATCAGAATGTGGGACGTGACACCGATGGGCTGGCCAGGCTCCGAGGTTGGGATCCCAGGGTCTAGAGAGAGCCACGTTCCAGACATGTGCTGTCTCCTCTGACCATCAGCAAAGGATCAGCCAAGTGATGGGCACTCAGTAGGTGTGCAAATACAGCCAGATCTCATGATTACCATGACTTCTGGACTCTAACATCATACCATGTGTACAGGCGTCACAGACAATAGAAGGCTCAGGCTCCAGAACCATGCACCCCACTCTCCTGATGCTTGAATATTTTTACTTCCTCTTTCCTCTTTAATCCAAATATTTGGGACAAAAAGTGTTTCCAATTTGAGGCTTTTTCCCCCTCAGATTTTGGAGTTATTATTTTTTTATTTTTATTTTATTTTATGTGTATGAGTGTATGCATGCATGTATGTAAGTGCACCTGTGGTCATGCAATGCCTGTGGAAGTCAGAAGAGGGCATCAGATCCCCTGGAACTGGAGTTACAGACAGTTGTTAGCTGCCATGTGGGTGCTGGGAATCGAACCCAGGTCCTCTGAAAGAACAGTCAGTGCTCTTAACCACCAAGCCATTTCTCTAGATTATGGAATTATTTACATATATATTATGAGATACCTTGTGTCAGGATTTGGTTGTAGAGTGTCCCCCTCCTCATGTGTTTGAGCACCTGGTTCCCAGCAGGGGGCGCTGGTTGGGGCAGGTCTGGAAACTTTGGGTCCTGAGCAACAGAAGTGAGTCCCTGGTGTGTGTGTGGCGGGGGGGTTGACTGTGATAAAATATCCGCTGCTATTTGTTGAAAACTCTTTGTTTCTCTATTTTTAAAAATACTTTATATACTATTTTTATTTTATGTGTACGAATGTATTGCTTGCATGCATGTAAGTGCACCAGTGTCATGTAATGCCTGCAGAGGTCAAAATCCTGTCAGATCCCATGGGACTGGAGATACAGACAGTTGTTAGCTGCCATTTGGGTGCTGGGAATTGAACCTGGGTCTTCTGTAAGAGCAACCAGTGCTCTTAACCACTGAGCCATCTCTCCAGTCTCTCTTTATTACTTTTTCTTTTCTTTTTTCTTTTTTAATTTTTTGGTCTTTTGAGACAGGGTCTCTCTGTAGCCCCAGCTGTTCTGGAACTCACTATGTAGACAAGGCTGGCCTTGAACTCACAGAGATTCGCCTGCCTCTGCCTCTCGAGTGCTGAGACTAAAGGCATGCTCCACCACGCCCAATGGGACTTTTGTTTTTAAAAGGAGGGGCTGCTCTTCCAAAATGTCAATGTCATAAATTCGTAAGTGTTCCTGGCAAAGAAGCTAGGCAGGGGTTATGACAGCTGAGGAAGGAGAGGTGTCAAGGTCCAGACCTGGCTGGGTTAGACAGCAAGTTCCAGCACAGCCTGGGCTACATACACAGACCTGATTGTAAGAAAAAAGAGGGCAGGGCTGGAAAGATGGCTCAGCAGTTAGAGCACTGGCTGCTCTTACAGAGGACCTAGGTTCGATTCCCAGCACCCACATGGTGACTAGCAACTGTTTGTAACTCCAGTTCCAGGGTATCTAACGCCTTCCTCCGACCTCCATGGGCATTGCACAACACAGGTGGCACTTACATACGTGTAGGCAATACACTCACAGACATAAAATAAAAATAATAAAGAAAGAAAAAAGAGGGCTAGGGAGAGGGCTCGGTGGTTAAAGTGGCTTGCTGCCAAGACTCACAACCTGGATTCAGTCCCTGAGACCCAGGTGTTGGGACAGAACTGACTGCAGCATTTTGTTTTCTGATCTCCATACGTTCACATGGCATGTGTGCCACACTCATACGTATACTCATGCACTCATAATAAATAAATAAAGTATAATAAAAAAATAGAGAACCATGTTCTGTAAAGGAGGCTAAAAAGACCCTTACTATATGACTCCCAACTGCATACTCAGCTGAAAAGTGTGTAAACAAAAAACACTAATCAGGGCTGGAGAGATGGTCCAGAGGTTCAGTTCCCAGTACCATGTGGCAGCTAACAACCATCCAAAACGCTAGTTCCAGGGGATCTGATTTTTCTGGCTTCTGTGGGCATTGCATGCAAGTGGTGAACTTATATACTCAAGCAAAACACTCACACACATAAAAAATTTAAAAATTAAAAGCCCCACTGAGGTTGAGGAAGATGGCTCAGTTAGTAAAGTTTGTGCTAGGCAAGCATCAGGACCCAAGTTCAGATCCCCAGCACCCCCATACACCTGTGTATAGTGGCACCATGTTTATAATCCCAGTACTGGGGAAGTGAAGACAGGTAGATCCCAGAGGTTCACTGACTAGCCAGCCCAGCCAATCAGTAAGCTCTCTGTGCAGTGAGAGACCATCTCAAAAATTAAGATGGCAACCAATTGAGAAAGACACCAGATCTCAATCTCTGGCCTCCACATGCACAGATGTGCACACACACACACACGTACACACACACACAGAGAGAGAGAGAGAGAGAGAGAGAGAGAGAGAGAGAGAGAGAGAGAGAGAGAAGGGAAGGAGAGGGAGAGGGAAGGAGGGAATAAGGGAAGGAGAGGGAGATGGGGAGGGAGAGGGAGAGAGAGAAAAAGAGGAGAGAGAGAGAGAGAACCATTGAGTCAACACACCAAATTAGAATACCACCAGGAGATTAGATAAAGATTGCATAAATGTTATGTTTACCAAGGTTGAACAGAGAGGTGATGTAAGGACCCATCTCTAATCTTTGGGAACAAGTGCTGAAGAATTCAGATTCAGCATATGTGGTATTAACGTCTAAATGCCTCTGAAAATATGTATATGCTAAGGAACCCAAACTAGCTTGAACTATAAAAATCTGCCTTCCTCTCCCTCCACAGTACAGACAGAGCCAGCTGCCCACAGATGCCCTGTGGCTCCAAGGTACTCCACAACCCCTTCTGGAAGGGAATCCTGCCGCTTTATTACCCATACACTTTATTTTCTAAAATCTCCCACTGTGCATCACTTTGCTGTTTGAAAGCACTTCCAAAAGAATGGAGCAATCTACAGTTTCTTGCCTGGAAGGTTGCAGACATTTGGTCACTACTCTAAGTTTGCTTCTGAGCTGTGAAAAACACCATGACCAAAGGAAGCTTGGGGAGGAAAGGGTTTATTTGGCTTACAGCTCACAGTCCATCACTAAGGGAAGTCAAGGCAGGAACCTGGAGGCAGGAGCTGAAGAAGAGGCCATGGAGGAAGGCTGGCTTGCTCCCCGTGGCTTGCTCAGCGACCTTTCATATACAGACCAGGCCCACCTGCCCAGGGATGGCACCACGCACCGTGGGCTGGCCCTCCCACATCAGCTAGTAATTAAGAAAACACCTCACAGGCAGGCCCACAGATCAATCTGACAGAGGAAATTCCTCAGTTGAGAGTCTGTCTTCCCAGGCGTGTCAAGGTGGTCCACATGGGGTTGGAGAGATGCTCAGTCGTTAGGAACACTTGCTGCTCTTGCAGAGGACCCAGGTTTGGTTCTCAGCATCCATAGGCAACTCGAAACTGCCTGTAACTCCAGTTCCGTTGTATCTAACACCGTCTTCTGGCCTCTGTGGGACTGTATTCACATGGCACACATACATGCACTCATTCGCACACATAAAATTTTTAAAAAGTTTTTGAGACAGGGTCTCCCTGTAGCCCCAGCTTGCCTGGAAGACCCTGTGTAGACCAGGTTGGCCTTAATCTCACAGAGATCCACCTGCCTTTGCTTCCCGAGTGCTGGGATAAAAGGCGTGAGCCACCATACCCAGAAAAAAATAAAATATTTTGAAGTTACTAAAAAAACTAATCAGCACAGTCACCATCAAGGATTCTGGGTCTTGGGCCACTAAGATGGTTCAGTGGGGAAAAGTACTTACCGCCAGACTGATGATGTGAGTTCCATCCCCTTGACCCTCATGGTCGAGAGAGAACCGACTTCTACAAGTTGCTGGCCTCCACATGCACGCCAGGAACATACACAACTACACATACAGTAATAATATATAAAATGATATATTTAAATAAAAGGATTATGGGTCTCCAGGGACACAGTCTCAAACTAAGAGTTTCTGGGATCAATATACCACCCTATACAGATGTTCAAATTTCTAAAGAAATAAGACTGTGGGTCCTGTCATCCAGACCTGCTGCAGACTTATTTCTACACAGTCCTTCTTACTTCGAACCTACCAAAACTGTATTTCGCTGAAATTCCATCCAACCTCTCCTCTCCCTCCAAACAATGATGCCTTACAGCTCCTCCTTGGGATATGGTCCCTTCACCACCACCAAGTGACAGACCTGGCTGATCCATTGGTAACTGAACTTAGATGGTTGAGCATATGCAATATCAAACTATTAATATGTAAGTCTCAGTCAAGTGTATGTGGGGGCTGGAGATGATTCAGTGGTTAAGAACACTGGCTGCTCTTGCAGAGGACCTGGATTTGGTTCCCAGCACCCACATGGCAACTCATAACTCCAGTTCCAGGGGATAGGATGCCTTCTTTGGACCTCTGTGGGCACTGTATGCACATATACATACCTACACACACACACACACACACACACACATTAAATGTAAATAAATCTTTGAAAATTATTTTTAAAAGTAATTATGTGTTTATATTGTTTATGCCAATTATCTGTAAGTTTATAATTATTTCTATTTTTTAATTTTGTGTGTGTACAAGTGTGTGTGTGTACAAGTGTGTGCACATGCCACAGTACATGTGGCAGTCAGAGGACAACCGGTTCTCTCCTTCTACCCTATGTACCCTAGGGATCAAACTCGGGTCCCCAAGCTTGGTGGGAGGGAGGCACCTTTATCCAGTGAGCTGCCTCACCAGCTCTGAAATCATTTCTTTCTTTTAAAAAATGTTCATTTACTTATAAATGATGTGTGTGTGTGTGTGTGTGTGTGTGTGTGTGTGTGTGTGGTGGAGTATGTGCCAGAGGCTTCAGATACCCTGGAACTGGAATTACAGGCAGTTGTGAGCTGCCCAACATAGGTGCTGGGAATGGAAGTTGCACATTCTAGTAGAGCAATATGAGTTCTTAACCCCTGAGCTATCTCTCCAGCCCCCTGAAAGCATTTCTCAAAGAGTTATCTTAGCTTCTTGTTACTTTTGTGTGTGTTTTTGAGACAGGGTCTCCCTGTAGCCCCAGCTGGCTTGAAAATATGTAGACCAGACTGACCTTGAACTCACAGAGATCCTCCTGCCTCTGTCTCCAAAAAGCTGGGGTTACAGGCGTGACCCACTACTTCCGGCTGCAAAGAAGAAATTTTATTTTGTAGTTGGTACTGTATTCCCTAAAGCTGGCAACCGAACTTTGAGAAAGGTTTATATTTTCTATGCATATTTTATATGAAGTAACTTCACTTAAAAAGAGTGTTACATCTTCCCATAAAAATTCACTATTAAAAAAACAAAAGCAAAAATAAAAAACCCCCAACAACAACAAATACCTTGTTGGGAGGATTCACTAACAGACTAGGGACTGGACCGCATTTCCCTGGGGTTTGTAGTCCCCGAAGCCCTTGTTGCCGCTGTTTCTGACTTTGGGAATCTCGGGCTTTGTGCTCTTGCACTAGCAACTTGGGGTCTTTTTAATGAGTGCGTCCCAGTCACCTGCTGTGGCCTCCCCTGGTCCATGCACTGACTTTGCAAATCACACGTGTTGCAGAGAGAGCAAGGGAAAGTACACTCGAAACTGGAACCTGCAAGAATATTCCATCTGGATGACTGACCCAGCCTGAGGCAGGCCTCGGAGGAGAAGCCGCAGCACCTCATCTCCAGTGGCGTCCCCTGGGCCAGGCAATGCTCTAGGGTGCAGTAGCTCTTGGATCCCCCAGACTGAGTGAGTGAGGCGACTGATTTTGAAATATCCAAAGGGAGGAGGGTAGGATGATGGGGGGATGCTTGGAATCCCAGCACTGGGTAGGTAGAACAAGTGACCCTGACTTAAGGTGGAAGGAGGATCAAGACATGAAGGTGACCTCTGAGCTACACACATGCTCTGGCCCATGCAGAATGCCCCCACCAACACACAGGAGGGAGGGAGGAAGGGAGGGAGGGAGGGAGGAAGGGAGGCAGGCTAGGGACTTTAGTTCACAGAGTGCTTGCCTAACATGCATTATGTCCTGGGTTCAATCCCTAATAGCCAGCCTGAACTGCTTTGACGCCCCCCCCCAAAAGAACAGAATCCTAACTCCACAGGGTGGAAAGGTGGAGGGAAGGTTGGGTGAACTTGTGATCCTCCTGCTTCACTCTCTGTAGCTGGCTGTCTTAGCATCTTTTCCCACTGCTGGATAAAACACATTGAAATAGCAACTTACAGGAGAAAAGGTTTACTTGACTCTCAACTCCAGGTTAGCATCCATCATTGTAGGGAAGTGGAGTCCAGGCAGCAAGAACTTGAACCAACTGGTCACATCACATCCACAGTCCAGAGCACAAAGCAATGGATTAAGGCATGCAGGTGGATGCTCATTTCGACCTTCCCTTCTCACCCAGTCCAGGGCCCAACGATGAAATGATGCCTCCCACATCAGGGTGGGTTTTCCCACTTCGACCCAATTAAGGCAGTGCCCTACAGATATGTCCACAGTCCAACCTGATAGACAATCAATCCCTCATTGAGACTGCCTTCCCAGGTGAGTCTACATTTGTAAACCACAAGCAGGATTATACCATCAGGACTGGTGGGTCTAGAGCAGCATCAACATCACCAATAGAAACCTTTTTTGTTTGGTTTTGTTCTTTGAGATAGGGTCTCCCTGTTGCCCCAGGAGGCCTAGAACGCCATGTACCCTAGCCTGGGCTTGAACTCACAGAGATCCGCCTGCTTCTGCCTCCTGAGTGCTGGGATTAAAGGGGTGAGCCACTGTGCTTTATTATTTATTATTGCATGTGTGTGTCTGTGCAGGAGCAGGCAAATATATGTGCGGAGGTTAGAGGACAACTTCTGGGAGTTAGTCTTCTCTTCACTAATTAGGTCTTCTCTTCACTAACTCGTGATATCAAGTTTAGCAGCAAGCTCCTAAACTGCTGAGCCATCTCCTTGGCCTGATAGAAGCCTTTTGATTCCAGGCCACACCTCTCAAGTTGTACTTTCTCTAGAGCCCTGGAGCTGAGAAATGATTCTGGAAGGGGTAAGGGAAGGGTTCTCAGAGAAAGGGGACGGCTCCTTCTGCCCACAATGTAGCCAATGGAGACATTCTGGTGGCTATGACTGAGGCATAAGAACAGCCAGGGTCATGTACCTATTCTTGAACCCCATAATGTCCTGCTCAGACTTGTTACCATTTAAAGTGTCCTCCAAGGCTCAGGTGTGTAAACATTCGTCCAGTGCTGGTGTTGCTATCTTACAGAGATCCACCTGCCTCTGCTTCCCAAATGCTGGGATTAAAGGCATGCAGTACCACCCGGTCGGTGTCAGGCATTTTATCAAAGCACTGAGGATTGTCACTAGTACCAGGCCCATACCCTGGCAGTGGCACAGGGGGAGCCCAGGGTCCCCTTCCTCCCAATTACATTTTTTCTTGGAGGAAGGAGGCTCATAAGACCCAGGAAACTCAGGAAGACGGAGATTATATAAGCAGTCAACAGTTGTTGGGAGAAAGATTGTCTTTAGTGGAGCTGACCACAGGCTGTACTGAGCTCCAGGGGGAGCTTCTGTGGTCATCACCCACGCTAGGGTGGGCTTTGGGGGTGCAGATGCCTTTGAACTACCTGTGTTCCTGTAAGGAACTCTTAATAAACTTGTTGGTCCTTTAGTTAGATTTGACTGGAATCATTTCTTCGGTCTGCCTTTGGAGCCCTATCTAGGATGAAAAGTCAAACACCTTCACCTGCTGGTAAATTGGAGGCCTGGGCAGGCCCGCTGCTGAGTTATCCTGCCCGTGGAGGTCGAAGGCATGGGAAGTGGTGAGGGACAGGACGGGACTGTGCTTTCTGTTCAGAGATGATCATGTTTGCCATATCCACGTTCTCACTTGGACACCCTCAGAGTCATAACTGAGCAGAAAAGGTTGCCCTAAGGTCAGACTAGGAAAACCCAGCTCAGAGAGGCCCCAGAACTGACTTAGTGTCCCAGGTAGGACGTAGCCGAGGGAGCAGTGCTTGACTGGCATCTGACAACGGGCCCTCAAGGTTATGACACAGGAAAAGTTAAGGGGGCAGGGGGCAGGAATCTCTGGTGGCCTGAGGGAGAAAGCAAGTTTGAGACGCTGATTAACATCAAACAATTCAGGGCCTTGAATACCTTTGATTTCCCCAGCTCTCTCTAACCAGGACCAGGACCAACCAGGTCCAGGATGGAACAAGGATTGACGGGCTGAAGGCCTAAAGGCCCCATAAGGAGGCACACTGGGGAGGGCTCGCACCTGCGGAGGTGGGCGTGTGCATTCTCCAGACATCTGTGCCCAGCGGTGTGTTCCTACGCATGTGTGTGCTCTACCATTCTGTATTCAAGCAAGGTAAAGTCCCAAAGCCTGGTCCTTCCTGGCTTCACCCACAGAGACAAAGGCCATGTGCCTCCACTGCGCCTCAGTAACATTCCAGAAGGGTTTATTGGCGCCAGGCATAGTCAGGAGTTCCAAGCTTCAGAGACAGACACCGGAGGGGATGCACACCAGCCCTCCTCGGGGGGTTGGGGGGGAACGCCCAGGTTGGTGGTATTTGCACTTTGGGCCCAGGAAGTATGCAAGGTGCGAGGTTCAGGGTGCACGGTATACAGGGCAGGGTGCAGGGTAGTGGTGCAAGGTTCAGAGTGCAGGGTGCTGGGTTCAGGGTGTATAGGGCAGGGTACAGGGTGCGGGATTCAGGTTACACGATGCAAAGTGTATGTTGCACCGTTACGTGTACGGAGCACGGTGGAGGTGCACGGTGTACAATGCAAGGTTCAGGGTGCATGGGGTAGAGTGCAGGGTTGCAGGGTCCAGGATGCAAGTGCAGGGTGCAGAGGGCAGGGGGCACGGGTGCAACGTTCAGCGTGGAGGGTGCGGGGTGCAGGAGTGCGCCGCAGCACCAGAGCGGGGACCGGCCCGCTAGAAGGGGAACTCGCAGACGAAGTAGAGGCGCCGCTCGCAGTCGTGGTCCCACCAGGAGCCGTCGTCCGAAGCCTGCGCCACGCAGTTTTCCAGGGTGCCGCCGTTGGGCTGATCCGGGCTGAGCGGATGCGGTGCCGCGCTAGGCTGGACGCCCGGCTCGGGGCTGGGTGCGCGATGCCAGGCGAAGAAGGACACGCGCTGCCCGTTCTCGAAGAGGTAGAGCCCCTCGGAGCGCCGGTCGTGCACGCCCAGCCACACCGGCCAGTTGTAGGGAGCGAGCGTCGCGCGGAGATAGCGGCTGAGCGCCTCCATCTGCTGCCGGTCGGCTGGCTGTGCCAGGCTCCCGCCCCGAGCCGCGCACCGTGCCTGCGCCGCCGCCTGCGTCTCGAAGTCTCGCGAGAGCAGGAAGCACTTGTGGCCGAGGCGCAGCCCCTTCAGGCAGCCTGCGGGCGGGGCGGAGCGGGAGAGGGCGGAGTTAGAACTTCAGGGCGCGAGTGGAGGGCGGAGCCAGAGTGAGAACTGCTGCGACCAATGAGGTGGAGCCAGGGCTGAGGCGCGTCCAAAGGGGAAGAAGGCGGAGCCTGAGTGAGAAGTGCCCCGACCAATGAGGTGGAGCCAGGGCTGTGGGGCGGGGCCAAGGGGAAGGGGGGAACCCTGGAGCAGAACTGCTGTGACCAATGATGTGTAGCCAGGGTTGAGGGGCGGGGCCAAGGGGAGAGGGCGGAGCCTGAGTGAGCCTAGGTTAAAACGTCAAAGACCTATATAAGGCGGAGCCAGGGCTGTGGGGCGGGGCCAGCCCATTCAAGGCGGGGCCAGGGCTGCAGGGGCGGGGCCAGAATCTACTTGGGAGGACTGGGGGAGATTGGGCTACAATTGTGATGACCAATGAGGCAGAGTCAGGGCCGCCACAGGGTCAGGTCAGAACATTTTGGGGGGGGAGAGGGCGGGGCTAGAACCGCCATAGGAAGACTGGGAGGAAAGTTGTTGGAACTGCAGTGACCAATCAGGTGGAGCCAAGGCTCCTGGGGGCGGGGCCAAGGAGAGAGCTGAGGGAGGAGTTAGAATTGAATAGACCAATGAGATGAGGCTGAGGCTGCTGGAGGCGGGGCCAAGCATTCAAGGGCGGGCAAGCGCGGAGCCTGGGTCTCTCTGGGTGGATTAGAAGGAGTCAGGACCAGAGTAGCTGTGACCACTGAGGGGAAGCCAGGGCCTTCAGGGGGCGTGGCCAGGATTTGTGGGCGTGGCTAGACAGCAGGGCAGGGCTTCCAGAGCCTTGACACAGGTTGGGAGGAGTGTCTCGCCTAATACCCATTCCATTGACTCTAACTTTCGGGTCAGCCAGCACATCCCAGTTGTGTGGGGACCCTCCTCCTGATGCCCGGCATCCCCAGGTCTTCAGATTTCCCAGGGTCCTCTCCTCCTGCCAGTCCTCCCACTAGGCGATGCGCCCCCTTCTCCACTCCACGGCGCACCTAGGACTCACCCTCCAAGCGGCCATGCTCACGGTCAGCGCGGACCTGCGCCTCCTGCAAAGCTTGCACAGTGTCACGGGTGTCGCCTGCCGCCTCCCGCAGCTGCCGCAGTCCCTGGGTCAGCTCGACCACGCGGGTGTCCAAGGCATGGAGACGGACATGCAACTGGTGTAGGCCTGCATCCAGGCCAGCCAGGCGGCCCACTGGGGAGGGACAGGATGCACAATTTGAAGAGGGTGGGTAACTGGGGGGAGGGCACAACCAGGGGCCCTGAGGCACTGGGAGGGCATGGCACTAGGACTCCCAAGAGTAGGATAGATCCCGCCAACTGGAAGGTCTAGAAGATTCCATGTGTGGCCTGGGATCTCGAGAGGCAAGGCTCGGGGTGGTGGGGGTCCTGAGGCTCCAGAGGAATTAGTGATTGACTGACGGGCCATCCCAGTGTCTGGGTACTCACAGATGTAAGTGATGGTGTCCTCTGGTGTGGGAGAAGGGCTGGGGCTGGGAGAAGGTGCTGCAGTGGTTTCCTCTTCCTCTTCCTCCCCACGAGTCTCTTCTGTCCCCCAGATCTCTTCGGCTTCAGAATTTCCAGCAAGATTACCCTCATCGTCCACCCCAGCGGGCAGCCCCAGAGCCTCCTGTAAATGCTGGAACAGAGAATGGATGGTCAGCCTCTTTCTACCTCCTCCCCCCTTCACCAGCTCCTTCCTTGAACCCATCATCCCATCCTCTGAACCCCATCACTCCCCCTTGCCCATCCCTACAACCCTTTGTCCCATGCCAACGCCCACAATGCCATCCCAAGACTCACCTTAAGCATCAGGGCCTCTCGATCTCGCTCTTCCTCCAGGGCACCCCCCCAGCCTCCCTCCCACTCCCTCTGCGCACCCCGGGCTCCGTGACTAAAGCCCAGGAGCTGAGGGACCACCAGGACCCCCAAGAGCCAGGCTGTCTGCATCTGACTGGGCTCCCTGGCACTCAGACTTGCAGACCTCAGAACTATCTGGAGTGGGGCTGGGGCCTCTGGGGAACTGGCAAGTGTGGTCCTCCCTGGGGCAGACTTTCTCCTATGCAATCCCTTCCTGGTCTGGGCTCCGTCTCCTCTCTTTTGGTTTCCTTGGCTCCTCTCTGTGCGCCTTCCCGCCCCTCTTGGCTCCCAGGAGGCCCTGCCTCTGTGGCCGGAAACCTCCAACGTTCCAAAGCCTGATCCCGCCTTGGGTCTCCCCACACCCACCCCTTTCCACTCTCCAGATCTCTGCCTCCTCCGCCCTTTTTCTTCCCCTTTGGAGCCAGCTCTCCAGGCCATCCAGCCCTGGTCCGGCAACCCTGTCAGAACCAAGCCATGGTGATGCTTGCTTTACAGTTCTGCTCCCTTCCGCCCCCCCACTCTTGGCCATTCCCGAGGGGACGGGGCTGGACTGAGGGGTCTGCTTAAGATGGTATTATCCTGCGGTCACCACTGACCACACACCCTGCTGAAGGGGACGCTTCTGCCCACTCTCAGGCTCCAGGGCATCCCCTACCTCCTCATCCCCCACCCCAAGATAGCCCGTGCCCACCATCCCAGCCCTTGTCCCCAGATGCAAGTGTGGGAACATGTATGAATAACGTATGTGTGGTCATGGGTTGTAGCTGGGAAGGTGGGACTTCAACATGTTAATAGAAGCTTTCCTCAGGCCAGGCCCTGAGCAGCTTGATCAGCTACTCAGTCAAGCAGGCCCAGAAGCTAGCCCCCACCCCTCAAGGGAGGGGAAGGTGGGAAGGAAGGGAGACATGTTCCGGGAAAGGTGGGCTAACAAGCGCTGGGCTCTAGGAGAACAGAGCCCAGAGCCTTCTGCAAGCTGCCTCATCCCAGCCTAGACCACTGCAGTCGCCTCCCCCTGCCATCCTCCTCCTTCCTCCGAGCCCCTCCAATCCGGACTGCTTGCCTGCTGCAGCCAGAGCAATCCTTCCAAACCATAAATCAGATCACATCACTCCCCACGCCCCTACCTTCCCAGCCAGGGCCTTGGTCCTCAGCTCAGCCTGCAGGGCTGGGGGCTGGGAGAGCACCATTCTGCAACCTCACCCTGTCTCCTCTTGCCCCCCCTCCAGCTGTACCCCCCTCCCCTCCTCAGAGGGTTTGCACCAACCTCCTTCTAGAAGACTCTTCCCCATTACTGGGGGCCTCAGCTCTGACCACCTCTGGAAAGCTAGGTCTGCAGAGTTGCTTTTTTAAAAATGCCTCATTCTTTTAGGCATGAGCCTACCAGTGTGGTCTGGTTTACTTGCATCCATCTCTTGCAGATCAAGGGGTAGAGTCTTGGGTAGTGTCTGAGGCTACGGCAGGGCAACTTATAGTAGGTGCTCAGTTAAGCTGCTGAGTAAGGAGGTGGCTGTTCCTGGTGGAGTAACTGCTTGATCAAAAGAAGCCAGACTTTGGCTATTTAGTTTGTACCCGAGTTCTCAAGGTGGTGGCCATGGTATGGGTGGAGGTGACAAAGGCAGGAATTTAGGAGGCCAGGCCATACCTACTCTATCCCAGGCCTGTGACTCCTCAGGGCTCTTCCAGCTTTGGGCCCAGTAAGTCCTGGCAACAAGGATGGAGCTCATGAGACAGAGATGGAGGGGCCCAGGCTCTGTAAAGGAGGAGTACAGGCTTGGGGGCGGGTGGTGGAGCGCAGCACAGCCCTGGAGGTCACGGCTATGAAGGCAGCTAGCCAAAGCTGCTGGCTCCAAGCAGGCACAGGGCATCTGCACCTCAGCTGCTAGGAGCCCCGTGGGGGCCTTGGAAATGAACTCACCCGTTTGCAAGAAAGTCTGGTACACCGAGGGCAGAGTGACCTTGGGCAGCCTGCTGGAACCTGTGTCTCTCAGATGCTCATGTGGGGCACAGAGGTCCCTCACCAGGGGCTGGAAACCTGGAGAGATCATGTAGAAAAGCCTTGTAGACTGTAGAGTGCCGAATAGCTACTCGCTGCCTGTGCCAAGATGGGCAGCTGTTCTCCACCGGCCCAGCTGCTCAGCACCTGGGTGGGTGGGTGGGTGTGCGTGGAGATAAGGGCCTCTCCAGGCTGGGCACCAGCTCTAGCTTATCCCAGGGTGCCCCAGGGAGCCTGCAGCTGGGGATAAATCCAGAGCCCCTCTATGGGAGCTTGTGTTCCCTAAAAGACCTGAAGACTAGGACTAGGCGGCATCAGGGCTGCCTGATTACCCACCACTGGATGCCAACCACCCTGCCTTAGCTCTGTGAGAAAGTCCCAGGTATGAGAGAGCTAGCTACCTGCACACAGTTAGTTCTGAGTGCCTATGTATGTGAGCTCTGAGAAGGCTAAGCACACTGTGTGTGACCAGTGAGGATGCACAGCCTTTGGAGTGCCACCTTGGAACTCTGCATCAGGCCAGTGAAGCCTATGGAAAGAGGCTTAATCCTTGACACCACCTGTTCTTAATCCTTGACACCACCTCTTTATAGCTGGGTGACCTTGGACAAGTTGCCTTGCCTCTCTGTGCTTCCACTGGAAAAAAAAAAAAAAGTCCCAGTATAGTCAGTCACCCATATAGTTTGTGGGGGGGGATCCCATTATTGAAGGGGTGGTAGTGTGGTTAGACAGATATACACACCTGTGGGATGGGCAGGGCGGTGGTGAGTGTGGGACAGCATGCAAACCTCTCTACTGTGTGCCTCTGTGGGGAGAGCTGAGTGCACAGGAGAGTGTGGTATGGGTAGTCTGGGAGGATGCTGCTTCTGCACCCTGACACTGGGGTCCCAGGGGCTGGGGAGTGTCTTTGATCACTGGGCCTGCAGTGTACCTAGGCAGGCATGCCCTAGGGAGTAGGCAGCTGTGTCTGGGGAACATGTGCCTATGTTAGGGGTGTGTGCGTGTGTGTGTGTGTGTGTGTGTGTGTGTGTGTGTGTACGTTTAGGAGCATGACACAGGAGTCTATAACCCTCACCATCCAATTTGGGGATGTACAGACTAGCTACAAATACATATGGCACCCCAGTGTGTATAGACGGGATGGGGAGCATTCTGGGAGAGGGACTCCTCTAGGCACAACAGGATCCCCCATTTGCGGGGTGTCGGGGTAAGTAGGGGTGGAGCTTGGGTTTGGGTATGGGGCAGGGGAGATGAGAGGTGGGGGAGGGGGAGGGGAGGGGGCGGAGCCTCGGTGTATAGGGAGGGAGGACGGGCGAGGTTTGGGGGCGCGGGGAGGGGCGATGTCTCCTCTGCTGGCTCCGGGAGGGAGGGGAGAGGGCGGAGGGAGGGGAGGGAGGGAGAGAGGGAGGGAGAGGAGAGCAAGAGAGAGAGAGACAGGGTGAGGGAGAGACAGCTAGAGCGAGAGAGCGAGCCGGGTGGCTGTGGAGGCGCGGAGCGGGCGGCGGCGCGGCG